AGGTAGTAAGTATGTATTTCAACAATCTACCTTCTAATCCAAGTCTGTGAGATCACTGTACCATTTCTCAATTTTGTATAATTGAAAGCAAAACTTTCTTTGCTGCTGGCTTGCAATTTATTCATCTCCAACCACACAGGTTGTACTGCACCTTTAGATCATACCATTACAACAGCCGCCATGAACAATGACATCTACTATAGAAGTAGTGAGGTATGACAGTCATGTGAATACGTACCCCATATAGCATCTTTGCCTTTGCCAGTGCATTGCCAAAAGCAAACATGAGCATTTTAGCCCGGAGTTGTTCTGGTTTAAATCGGGCTGGACGAATGTTGGCTGATTCCACAAAGTACAGAGTGTGAGGATGAGGGTAGGGATAACCCTCTCTAAAACCTGGATTATGGGTAACCATGAGATACCAAAAAAAAAAGTTTAGTACAAAGTTTAGTCTTTCCTTTACTCTTTTCAGTAATTATTAAATTTGTATTAACGCAGATTAGACTTACTGCTATGAAGAACATGTAAGATACCCTATATAGCACTAGCAAATTGGCTAATCCATTATCAACTGTACACCATCTAACCTCAGCACATGAAATGTTTAAGGGAATGGGGAAGTTAAAGATTGTAGTGCTGTCCACTAGTAAACATTAGCCTGAATGTTTATGTAAGTGCTACGCAACTTTTACCTGTATCATTTCGTTCTTCATATACATTAACTTCCTGAAGATCAATTGTAGGAGAGATGGGATGGAAGGTCTCTAGAATGTGGTTTTCGGTAGCCAGAATCTCATCCTTCGAGGCTACTGGCAATAATGGATTAATGGCATTCAGAAGTATTCCATTCAAGCCACGAACCTGAAGAATAGATGATTCTGTAAAGAGAGATTATATTGCATGCAAACATTGCAAAGACTCACTAACACTTGTACTTAATTTAGAATAAATCTACCACCACATCTATTAATTTATTCTTCTATTGCTATAATTTTACTGTAACATGCATCCAAAGGAAAAGATGCCCTAGGTTTCATTTGCTAATGTTTAATACTCTATGGAAAAATGAAGCCATAGGCTAACCCCTGCATCGTTAACCATGAAGTGTCACAATACTCTTACTGCAAGAATAGTGATTTATTTTGGAAGGCACCTCGTGTTGTCTTCCCCCCCGCCCAAAATGAATGTTAAGTAGCTGCCCAACTGGAGACAATGATTTACACAGAATACAAACATAACACTTCTATTTATCCAGTTCACTAGTTATTGATCCCATATAAGTATGGCTTGAAAGATTGTACAGATTTCATGCACACATTGTAGTAAACAAATCATCAGTTCTTTAGAAAACAATGCTCATATTGCCTTTTGTCATGCACCATTGTCTGTCTCCTCTCCCCACAATGTCTCTTTCATATTCTGTAAAGTTTAGATAGTAAACTTCTGAGGACAAGGGACCAGCCATCTTACCTCAACTATGCCTAATGCACTATTTAAAGCTAAAAGGTTCTGAGACACTTGGTTTCATAGGTGCTAGCTTTATTTTAATCCTCATCCATGTCCTTAGCTTTAAAGCTAGTATTTTTCTTTATTATTCCCTATCAGGATTACAAGTAAAGAGAAAGAGAGAAGTGTTTTCTCCAAATAAATAAAATAAAGTTACTAACCTCTCTCCCATGTAGCCGCCACTTTGTAGTCTCTAGCCAACATTCTTTTAGAGAGGGAAGGATACTTGCTAGCCATTGTCCTACACAAATGTAACAAGTCTTCCAAGAGTACAGGGCTTTAGAATGAGACAAGAATTAGTAGGATAGGATACAAAATGACTTTGAAAGTTATAGGTGTACAGAATATACAATGCATTCTAGTACATGAATACAAGTAAGCCATAACAGTATGAAATATGTAACATTTCCAAATGGTTAATGCAGATTTGTTTAATACTTAAATCCATCTGACATACCAATCGGGTTCCAAGTTGGCAGTGATAATGTTTACTTTCAATTATTAAAACAATTGACATCTGTATTAGCTGAGATATGATCTAAAATAGAACTAAGTTTGTACAAACCCACAGACTGTTACACACTTTGACATAAGATGAAAACAAGTTTTGAATATACACACAAGTACAATTGTAAACAAGTGAGGGCTGGCAACCAGATACAAACTGAATCCACCTCAGTAACATTAAACAGTAAATATAATGTTCTGCTGGTAATACATTTTTTTTAAAAAACTGATACTGATAAAAAAAAACTGGCTGTTTGAAGCAGAGCTTCCCTGAAAAGGCTGCAGTGTAAGTAAAGATTTCTTTAACTTTTGAGGACTTACCAATAACTCTCTCTCTTGGGAATAAGTTCAGTGGTATTCCAGACACGTGCATGAGAAATTGCATTTTGTACTCTCTCATCCTCATTCTCTAGTTGGTTGGCTGGTTCATCAATAATACTAAGTACTTTTGGAGGTAAGCCTTCCATTAATTTTGTCTTTGTTAGCCAGAGCGCTTGCCTTACTCCTTGGAGTCAAATCAAAATATATTTATTGAAGATATTCAGCAGTGTTAACTATGCCATAAATGGGTTAATATAAAAATGCTCTTTTACCTATTGAATCTTAAGCACTTATGCTACCACTAATATAGAATACTTCTCAGCATGACCAAGTTATCAGGAACATTAATTTTATGTAGTCTGACCACTTTCATTTATGTACTGTTTTACAACACTGAAATAAGTGTGCATGCCTCATTAGCACCATATAAGTTACACATGTAAGTTGAAAGATTAGTTTAGAAGTGTTTTTCCCTACTTATTTTTTAATTGTAGTATATTCGGTTAAGAATTACAAGGAAACAAGATATGAGAGACTACGTATAGCATATGTATACTTTGCATATTATACTTCATGTTAAATGTAAATGGGATCTTGCATTCTGCTGCATGCATAGTTCATCTGAAATTAAGTGCTGGTATCCATACTGAAAGGAAAGAGAGCCTGTACCCCTTGCCAAAGTTTCTTAGCTTTCTGTTTACATTATCATAGTAGCTGCGGCCCCAACAAAAATCAGAGCCCCACTGTGCACAGCCCTGTACCTTCAGGTGACATGGTTCCTACCCTGCAGCCCTTACAAACTAATCCAGTATTTTTGTTGGTCCACCCACCTAAGAAAGTAGGTGCTAGACTACTATGCACACCACTATTGTTGTATACATGTGAGCTGGTTTGGGGGGAGGCGTGGCCCACTCCCCAACACGAGTTAGGTTATAGCCACTCCAGCCAACACAAAATGCCTTCTTGATATGAGCTATTTTAGGATAACGGGCAGCCTCCACCTGAGTTATAACACGCAGCAACCCCACCCCCCAACCAAATTCACAGTCCATTTTGGCTAATTTCATGTTCATGGGATTTCAAAAATCATAAATGTCATGATTTCAGCTATTTAAGTCTGCCATTTCACAGTTTGGTAATTGTAGAGGTAGTGACCCAAAAAGGAATGGGGGGGGGGGGTTTGCAAAGTTATTGGAGAAGGGGTTGTAGTACTGCTACCCTTAGTTCTGCACTGCTGGGGTAGTGCTGCCTTCAGAGCTGGGCAGTTGGAGAGCAGCGGCTGTTTGCTGGGAGGCCCAGCACTGAAGGCAGACCTGCTGCCAGTAGCAGTGCAGAAGTAAGGATGGCATGGCACGGTATGGTATTGCCCCCCTTATTTGTGCGCTGCTGCTGGCATGGTGCTGCCTTCAGAGCGGGGTGCCCGGACAACAGCCACTGCTCTCCAGCCACTCAGCGCAGTGATTCTCTCTCTCCCTCCCCCTCCACCCCCGCCCCCAAAAAAACAAACTTGTGATCTCCCTACAACTCCCTTTTGGGTCAGGATCCCCAATTTGAGAAATGATGGTCTCCCCTCTGAAATCTGTACAGGGTAAAAGCACACAAAACACCAGATTTCACAGTCTGTGAGGAGTTTTTCATGGCCCTGAATTTGGTAGGGCCCTAATTATAGGCTAGGTCTGGCAGCTAGTTGTTGCATATTATTGTGGTTCCCCCTTAACTGCTACTCTAGCTCTCTCAGGCAGGTCCCTCTACACCCCTCCTCCCAGTCTAAGGTATTTATATGACCCCATCACTTGTAGCATCTGAGCACCTCACAACCTCATGTATTTATAATGGGGGGGGGGGCAGGGGAGCAGCTATCATCCCCAGCTACAGCTGGGGAAGTGAGGCACAGAGCTGCAGTAACTTGCCCAGGGTGACCTAGGAAAGCAGTGCCAGCTCAGGGAACCGACCCTGGCTCTCCCGAGGCTGGTGCCCTAACGAGGGGGCCGCCTTTTCCAACACCCCGCTGCTGCCCCAGGCAAGGCTGGGCGCTCCTGGCGGCCTGGCTCCCTCACCCACCCAGCACCTCTGCCCCGCGCCCGCTACCTTCCAGCATCTTGGCTCGCTGGTGGCACACGTAGCAGACGCGCTCCTTGTAGAGGGGCATCGCCTCGTAGCGCGGCCCCAGGGCGTGGCGGGGGTCGTGCCAGCCACGCTCCCAGGGCGGGTGGCGGGGCCGGGCCAGCCAGGGCACGAAGTACTGCTTGCCCGCGTAGGTGACCTGCTCCAGCCCGGGGATCTGCTCCTGCACCGGCCGCTTGTCCTGCCAGCTGCGGGGCAGGGGGGCCCCCGGGGGCGGCCCGCGGGTGGTCCAGGGCGTGCGGGGCAGCGGCTTGCGGGGGGCCTGCACAGTCTTGCCGCGGTGCGGCCCACGCGGGCCCCACGCCCTCAGCGCCCCGGCCGCCGGCCTCGTAGGCCACCATAACCCCGCCATGGTCGGCTCCCGTCAGGGACTCCGGCCCTCGCCCTCCTCGGCCCAGCCACCCGGAAGAGTCACCGACTGGGGGCCGCCATTTTCCCTAGCGCGGGGCATGCCGGGTACGCAGCGCGCTCGCTGTCCCGGCGACTGACGGCACCGCCAGCCAATGACTCGTGGGTAAGCTCTTTCTGTTCCCGCCCTCCCGACGAAAGGGGGCGCGCGCCAGTCGGGTTCTGGGGGCCGCGAATGGTGAGGGCGTCGCGGCCGTTGGTAGGTCGCGAGCCGGAGGATGGCTCGGGGCAGGACGAGGAGCCCGGGGAGTCGGTCACTGCCGGGAGGGAGGGGAGGGGAGTGTCAGTCCCTGAGCAACCCCCCCCCCCGCCATGTCCTGTGTTGCCCACCCCACGTGGGCTATAGCGAGGCATAAGCGGAGCGGAGGGGCGCTGGGCCCTGCTCCGCCAGCAGGATTGACAACGTTCTAATCGCGGGAACCCGACCACCCTGGCCCCGCCCCTGCCCCAGGCCCCGCCCTCCGCTCACTCCTTCCCCATCGCTCGCCCTCCCCCACCTGCGCTCGCTTTCACCGGGCAGGGGCGTGAGGGCTTCGGCTGGGGATGCAGGCTCTGGGGTGTGGCTGGGGATTTGGGGTGCAGGGGGCTCTGGGCTGGGGCGAGGTGGGGGGGTGAGAGCTCTGGCTGGGGCCAGGGATGAGGGGTTTGGGGTGCAGGATGGGGGCTCCAGGCTGGGACCGAGGGGTTTGCGGTGCAGGAGGGGGCTCCAGGCTGGGACCGAAGGGTTTGGGGTGCAGGAGGGGGCTCCAGGCTGGGACCGAAGGGTTTGGGGTGCAGGAGGGGCTCCAGGCTGGGACCGAGGGGGTTGGGGTGCAGGAGGGGGCTCCAGGCTGGGACCGAGGGGTTTGGGGTGCAGGATGGGGGCTCCAGGCTGGGACCGAGGGGTTTGGGGTGCAGGAGGGGGCTCCAGGCAGGGGGTTGGGGTGTGGGAGCGTTTCGGGATGCAGGCTCTGGCCAGGTGGCGCTTACCTCAGGCAGCTCCCAGAAGTGGCCTGCAGGTGCCGCCCCCACAGCTCCTGTGGGCCGCGGCTCCCGGACAGTGGGAGCTGCGGAGCCAGCGCTCGCCCAGTGGCCGCCCCGCACCAAGGAGCTGGACATGCCGGTTACTTCCGGGAGCTGTGGGAGGCAGGTCAGGCAGGGAGACTACATTAGCCATGCTGTGCCGCCGACCGGACTTTTAGTGGCTTGGTTAGCAGTGCTGACGGGAGCCGCCAGGGTCCCTTTTTGACCAGGGGTTCTGGTCAAAAACTGAACACCTGACAACCCTAGCTGGGGGCCCCATTTCCAAGCCTGTCTCTGCCGTGGCACAGACTGGACCTGTCCATCCATGAATGCAGAGCTTCTCCCCTAATCCCATGACTCCGGGAGCTGGGGCTTCAAGAGAGCCGCTCTGCAATCTGCCCTGACTCTGGGTCCCACCAACTGGGATGATTAGCTGCCACCTCCCGTAGCTACAGGGAGCAGCAGGCTCCCAGTCTCGCCTTTGCCTGGTAGCATGATGGGGTTGCATGGCTGGGCTGGACTGCAAGGGGAAGATGGTTTTATCATACTACAGCCGTACCTGAATCACAGAACTGAGAGGCGTATTGAATGCCCTCCCCAAACACTGCTCCTGTGTTGTACAGGCTCCTTTCGTCTACTCTCCGTTTGTCCAGATTGGAAACTCACCAAAGCAGAGACCTGCCTTCCCTGATGTCCTAGGCTCTTTCCCAACAGAAAGATAGGGGCATAGTACCTGCTCCAAGGAACTTACTATCTTTGGGTGAAAGAAGAATATTCCTTGGGTGGAAGGTAGCACGGTCTGAGTACAATGCTAGGAGTCAGCTCTCATGAGTTGTAGGCCCTGTGCTAACAACTGAGATTAATCTTTGGCCTTGGTCAGGTCACAAAGGCTAATTTTTTAATGGCCACTTATTTTGAGATAACAGACACCTAGGACCTAACTTTTCAGACATGCTGAGCACCCACGACTCCTATTGACTTTGCTATGGATGCTCAGCATGTTGCTCCCTGTGGCTAGACTGCTAAAGTCAGTGGCCACTTTTCAAAATGGTGGCCTTAGTGTTCTATTTCTCCATCAGTAAAATGAGAATAATAATATGTTTGTCACAAGTGTGAAGATAAGTTTTAATGCCCATAAAGCACCTTGAAAATGAAAATGGTTATAGGTGTTAAGTATTCTTCAACGCTACCACTTGTGGTTTTATAATTTTCTTCATTTTTGAACGATACAGCATTAATAATATCTAGCTCTTATCTAGCACTCTTCATCGGTATATGCCAAAGCATTGAGAATAATATCAAGTTTAGCAGTGCATTAAAAAGTTATGATGTTCCACAGAGGTCAGTTTTGAGACTTCTTTTGATAGGACATGATCTAGGAGTGTCTGATATAAGGATATTTGGATGGGGAGTTAAAGATAATTCTACCAGTGCTTGCCCTCGCCTACTTATTCGATCTCTAACCCTGTAGCAACTCTCTTGCTCACCAAAATGGCCCTTCACTTGACTGATTTCACTAAACACTGCTCCCTGTCAAGTTCCTCTCTCTGACCACCACCTGTATTTCTCCAGCATCGCTTATCTTCCAGCCTCCCAGAGGTTGAACCTCTCTATTAAAAGCGGGGGCAGCTGCAGGCCACGTTTTAGAATGCTACTTTATATGTTGAATACAGTACTTTAATAAAGATGTATTGAAGGAGGGGATTTAGAAGAAGATGCAAGATAAAGATGGGACCAGAGCACACCAAGTATTCATCTTTAATGTAGGGGTGTGGCCCACAGAGATAATAAATCCTAGGTCACAATGCTCTTCTTTGGTCATTGAAGCTGAGTCTAGGATTTAAAAAATATAGCAACTTATATGAATATTGAGAACATCCACGGTTACATTATTTTTCCTGTCTAATGTATACGCAATACAGACACTTATTCTGCTGGGCATAAACCACTCACCAAACTGTTCATGGGTTTCTTACACCTTTCTCTGCATCATCTGGTATTGGCCACAGTCACTGACAGGATACTGGACTTTGTGGGCCATTGGTCATATGCAGTATAACAATTCTGTATTAAAGCAGAGGATTGCAGCCACTCAAATGAAGATGGAGCATTGCTTGTATCAAGTTAGCCAAATATATCTTCAGCTAGATAAAGTTTGGATGCCTCCTGAATTAAATCTTCAACATATTGAGATGGATGTTTCTAAAGCAGCAGATAGCTAGCACCAGATTCATGTGTGCCTCTTTCTTAAAATATGTAGCCCTGTGAATGATGCTTGGGTTGTGTTTTGTAGGTAATGAGTGAAAGTGAGGATGACTGGCTCTCTCTTATGCCCACTGAACCCTTGCAATCTCAGTGCTGTGGCAGTGGCTGCAAACCGTGTGTCTATGATGTGTATCAGAAGGAGCTAGCCCAGTGGGAAGAAGCCAAAGCAAAGAAAGACAGAAGCCTCCTGACCAAACAGAAGGAGGAGGTAGGGACTTTAAAGGCCTTCTTCATAGCATCCAATCAGTCAGTACTTTTATCACATTTGTGTTTGTAAGCGTTTGATAGCTGTGTAGCTGAGGGTGGGGTGATCTATAATGGTCTTTTATTAGAGGAATTTAGACCTCCCCCATAATACACCCCTACCTCGATATAACGCTGTCCTCGGGAGCCAAAAAATCTTACCGCGTTATAGGTGAAACTGCATTATATCGAACTTGCTTTGATCCACCGGAGTGCGTGCCCCCCCCCCCCCGGAGCACTGCTTTACCGCGTTATATCCGAATTCGTGTTATATCGGGTCGCGTTATATCGAGGTAGAGGTGTACCTGCTGTAATGGAAATTCCCAAACTCTCTGGATTTCATTATGTACCTCATTAAAGTGCAGTTTCTGGTGCCACTACAGCAAGCTCACATCACATGAAGGTGATAAAATAAGGCTAAAGCTTGTTTGTGCAGGTGGCAGAACTTTCTTCAGGGCCAGTCTGAAACTCGAATGAACTCACCCAGAAAATGAAGGACCATCATAAACTTCACCACCTTCCGGTCCAAGTGCAAGGTGCATTTCTTTGGTCTTTCTGTCCCTAACATAAATACATAGCAACATGTATATTAAAAAAAGTCCTGCACATACGTCTTTCTCTGTTGAGAGGATGAGAGAACAAACACATGACAGGTGTTACTCACATTCTTAATGCACTACTGAGGGTGTTCGGATATTACAGTGATGTGCCCTGTGTAGAATAGGTGGTGACTCCACAGCTTGAGGCAACAAGTTTTTAGGGAAAAAAGCAGAGATGAGAGTGTCAGCATCTCTTCTGCTATGATAGCGTTCACTGTTCACCTTAGACAACTTTTATTTTACCTTCATTTTCAGGTTCATATATTGAGGATAAAAAATTAACATTTGACACAGCAGTCAATTATTTGCCTCTTCAAAACATAGTTTTATTCCTGTCAAATGCCCTTTCAAATAAATCCAACCATGCTGGTAAAGCAGGATGTTTCTACTAACATAATCAGCAGTGAAATAATTAACAGTGTTGGTTTTTAAAATGGTCATTAGAGTTCAGCGTTAAGTCCCCATTAGGATGTTAAGCTCTCTTAGAGCTGTTTCTACTGAACTCTCACTGTACCCTCAGGAAGATAGCATTGCACTGAGTCATGTTTAGAAGGTTTTCTTTGTGGTCATAGGATCTGGAATCTAACTTTTTTTTTTAAATGACATCTTAGATTTTGAAAAAAACACTGCAAAAAAACAAACCAGCAGAGAGACCCCAAATCTGTGCTTGTCCCTAGAGTTTTCAAGGCACATTTTTATGGGGTCCTAAGTTTCACCAGCACTAAATTCACACACAAGTTTTTTTAAAAATAAAAGTGAAATAAAGGATGCTGCCTACCCCAGTAATTGCTTATTGTTGTTCTTGCAGAGTAGTAGTTCAGAATTAAATCCAGATACATTTACTGCTTTCAAGATAAGCTCTGTGGAACAGCTAACAGAGGACACCTACCAGTATAAATTTGAGCTGCCAGGAAATAGCAGCCTGGGATTGAGTTTAGGACAACATATTGTGTTAAGGTACTGTACTTGTCTCTAGTTAAATGGGCTACATTACGTGACTTAATATGCAGTTTGTCAATATACAAAGATTTCATACCAAGTAAATCGTAATTTCTGTGCTTCTGTAATGATACAGTTGAAAGAACTCATGAGTTTAAGTTTGTTAATTTTATGGTGAAAGCCCACTCCATAGCTTCATTTTTCCCCAACATTACCTTTGTGTTGGTGGTGGGGAAAAGAGAACTAAGTGTGGCTAAGAAGAGCAATTAACAGAAGGAAAAAGAGAAAACGTAGTTGTTTCAGCACACGATTTTTATCAATGTGGTGGCATGAAGGCAAACTACGAAATCAGGAGTTCTATGTTAGGCCCTGTAGCTTGGGGTGGCTAAGCACCGTGCAATATTGTATCCAAAGTCCATGTGCTTTGTGGCTGATTGCCAGCTGAGGTCAGGAAAAACATTCCCTCCCCTGGCATAGTATTTGCCAAAAAGGGGCCATGTGGGAGGAGCTGTCATCTGTGTTAGTTTCTCATGGTGACCACTGTCAGATACAGAAGAAGGTCAGACTATAGGCACCATTGATATATATCAGTTATTATTATACGTTTACTGGATGCTGTACAAACAGTGAAAAACAGCCTCTAGCCCAAACAGTTCAAATTTACCAATATAGCATTTCCTCACAATACTGCACATTCATCTGCTCCACACAAAACGTCTGTTACACTCCTTTGCCTGGTTAGCTTCCCCAGACAACAAGCGCAACATAGCTGGTGCCATTGCCTAGAGAATTGGAGGAATACTAAAGAGTGTCGTAAAGGGTCTGCAGAGAAATCTGAGGTTATTTCACTCCCTGGATCTTTAGCTAATTGAGGGAACATCTGTCTCAGCAAAGGATGACCCATGGGGAGGAAAGACTGCTGTGTATTTCAGACAATAGCCTTTGCTCATCACTCCAAAGAGTATCAATCAGTGATTCCAGTAATGGTTTCCTGTACCATCTTGTTTTCTTCTCAGAGGGATGGTGAATGGTTTGGAGGTTCAGAGAGCTTATACTCCAGTTAGCCCTGTAAACGCTGAAGGATACTTTGAAGTTTTAATAAAAGTAAGTAGTCTATATTAGTTTGATAAGATTGTAAACAACTTGGGACTGTGTTTTTCTTCCATTGAATCTACAGAACTCACTCTGTTAATATTTAGCAAATGAGAATAATAATTAGGAGTATGTGTCATGGAGCATTTTTGTAATTATTTAGGGGCAATTGTGCTTTGCTGATAAGAGTGGTCATTTCACATACACAAAACTGAAAGTGAAAAGGTGTCTTGTAAATAAATTATTTACAACATATTCTCTATTAAGTGATCCTTACAAAATCAAGGCCAGAGTTTTGCAATTGACTATGGTAGGAATAGGATCAGGGCTTAGTTCTAAATCCTGTGCATGGAATCCCTGGGGGAATGATGCCCCTCTGGTCCCTTTTCACCCCTAAAGTCTGTCATGTGAGTGCAGTGGCAATGCCAATGGAGGATTTTGAAAGTTTGTGGTACGGCAGGAAATGAAACAGCTCTCCTGCATCCCTGGAGAGTGCCTTTATCACAAGAGCAACCTTTAGCAATTAGGCTTGTTGAGGGGTTGTTTGCTTTAAGGACACTTTTCAGGGAAACTGTTCATTTTGCTGCAAAATATGTAGAACCATAAAGCATCTGTTTTGTGGTCTTCACATTTAGAAACTGATACTGAGACCCGTTTGGGGTGAAATCCTGGCCCTATTGAAGCTAGTGGCAAAGCTCCAATTGACTTCAACAGGGCCGAGATTTTACCCCTCGACTTAGATGGAAGTTTTGCCTGAATAAGGACTGCAGGACCAGGGTCAACAAAAATAATTATTTTGTGTAGGAAATCAAAATCAGTTCCATCTTTCTGGTCATATTTACATATCTCTGCTAATTTCTGGGGGGAAGATGGATTTTACTCCACGTGTAAAATTCTGACAGCTACAGCTTCCAGGCAGATTAGAGTACAACCTCTTAGCCTCTGCCTGTCTCTCAGGAGTTTATACTTTTGAGGATTTATTATTCATTTGTATGATAGAATGTAGTCCTTTAGAAATGTGTGTAACTCTGATAAAAGACTTTTATGGGTGGGTTATTTCACTGTTGTGGCAATCGGGGGAAAGTGCTACATTTGAGCTGCATTAATAGGATACATTTATAAGTTGACTGTGAAATTTCATGTATACTCGCTTATTACACAGGTTTTGCGTTTCAATAATAATAGTAATGATTGTAATAATACCTTTCCTTTATATAGAACCTTTCATCCCAAAGGGAACTATAATGATTCTCTGGCAGTAATAAAAGGCCTGCAACACCTCCTCAGAAAGTACCCATTTTTATAACTTGCTGTGTAGGTTGTAGTGTATTTCACACTATTCAGGCAATTTTGGGAAGTACTATATTATTATTACTGTGCAATCCACGTACTGTTCAAACCCCTCTGTTTCCTATTGTTACACTATCACGTTTGTGATACTACAGTTTAGAGTGAGGGAGTTGCTATTTACCATGCATAACCCTCTGTAACAGGGTCAGCCACCTTCTGAGCACCCCCCCTTGTGGCCTAGGGTCACTCTGTTTCCCCTTCTTCCCCTTAAGAACTGCACAGTCCACAGTACTTAAAACAGTCCCCTTCTGGGGTCCAATTTAGTCAATCCTCAGAAACACATTTCCCTCCAGGCCCCAACCCCCATTCAATATCTCTCTCCCCTTCAGTAGAAAGTCCCCATTCCTCCTTTCCAGAGCTGGGTCCTAATTTAACAGTCACTCCCATGCTTTACTTGGCTGGAGTTCATCCTCCTGGCTCTGAGTTCTCATGTTCCCTGCAAGAACCTTTCCTCACTCTCTACCACAGCTTCCTGCTGCCCCTGATAGGGGAATCAGCTGTCTCCCTCAGGTCCCACAGCATAGGTGGGCTAGAGCAGTTCCTTCAGTAATCAGAGTTGGCTAGCCCTAGGCCTCTAGTCCTTAAGTGCCAAGCCGTACTCTTACACCTTCTTTTGAGTGATTTTATAATGTTATGGTTTCTTTTGGTATAAAACTGAGTGTAGAAGTTTTCATCCCAGGAGATATTTTTTTTTATTTACAAAAATTAATTGTAAACCAGTTCAGTCATTTCTCATTTAGATTGAGGGGGGATATTTGGATGTGGAGAGTGTTTCAGTTCCAAATGCTTTTCGCCCAGTGCTGTGTAGGCAACATGAAGTAACTGCTAATTTGCTACTGCCTTATACCTTGCATTGCCATTTATGCTTGTGGAAGGTGAGTGTAAGATGCTTACCATACAAACCATTCTGATATGATACCTTTTCTACCCACTCAGCATAGGTGTTAAATGACTACCCAAGATGCAAGGCCCGTTGAATGGAAAATGTCTCTGATAGTATCTTACAGCATGGATGCCATTAGGGATGGTAACAGGACTAACTGGATGATCCCAGGGTTTTAGCATTTCCCTTTGTGTCCTCCTCTATTGCAGGCAAGCTATGACTCCTGCCAGTAACACATGAAGTCTTTATGCAGAAGTCTCTAACAGTGTTTTCACAGTGGTTTTGTACCTGTTAGGAAGAAGAGCAGTTTTTGTGAATGCCGTTTTTAGTGAGGTCCATGTCCACATTTTTGTAAAATCTCAGAGCATCCCTTCACATTCAGATGATCTGTACTAAAAATACCCATTTTAACATTTCAGATGGGAAATCTGACTCCGGTTCAGTAGTTACTTGCTGTGCCATTGTAGCATCTGGGAGATCTGAAACAAAGTGTAAAATATGTGGTGTTCATTTGAATATCAATACCCAGAATGCACTTCCAGCTCCCAGTCATTTAATAATTGTGCTACATGGCCGTGTTCTGAGCTCTGGAGAACACAAGAAAGCTTGCTGTGCTTTTGACTGTAAGGAGTTCTTCTTTGTGTGCTTTGTAAATGAGAGTTCTGATAGGCTTTCCTAGCTTCAGAAAGCTTAGGCTTCATAAGTGTGTATTGTGTTTACATTCTATTCAAGCTGGATTTGATCCAGTATCATTTCAGTTAAATGTTTTTGTTACTGTTACAAGTTTATATTATTTTGCAAATAGAACAGTCATTTTTTAAATCCCTGAAATGTTTTCCCCCCTTTTGTTTTAAACAGAGATAATTTTGTAATTAACGTTAAGCTGGGAAATTTTCCAACAAAGTATAATTATTTTTTCCTTTTGTGTGATTTTTTTTAATAGTGCTACAAGGCTGGGCTAATGTCACAATATATAAAATCCTGGATTGAAGGAGACACAGTCTTTTGGCGAGGGCCATTTGGAGGCTTCCCATATAGCCCTAATCAGGTTAGTTATATAATAGATACAGAATGGCTCAGCACATAGTAGCTCACTTTGTGTAATGTACCAAAGGGAGAGTGTCAATTAGATTACTATTTTGATTATTTGAAGGATTCACACATTTACTGTACAGTGCTACAGCATTTGAAGTCGATTGGAGTAAATGGATCTTGTTAGAATGCAAAATATGTAAGGAGGGAGAGGAATGGGAGGAGTGGGGGAGATTATAAAACACTAGCAACTGTTGCTGAGCATCCATTTCATTAGTGTTGAAACGAAGAAAACTGGTCAGAGTTATCACCAAAAATGCGTGCAAATTTGTTTTGCATCACTTTGAACTACATTGATGTTTCAAGACCAAGTTTGACCAGAGCAGAGGTATCAAACTCCTAGTCCCAGGGCCAGATCTCACCCATTTGATATATTTATTTGGCCCATGTGGTATCATCAGATTATGCAGACTTCAGTGAGGTGTGCAGTCTTATGTCCATGATGCTGCAAATAGTGATCCCACGTATGGGTGCCAAACTCACAGCAAAAATGACTATATCAAATTTTGGAGAGATTTCCCACAAACGTAGGGACTGTTACTTAATCCCCACCTTTTGGATGAGATGTAGAATTGTGGCTCTGGTTGTTAGAGATCGCATGGCACTTGCAACGTAGGAGTGTGAAAACCCCAGGGACCTGGCCAAATTCCAGGTAGAGCAATTACATTCTGCCTGCTGAAATCCCCCCTGCTGTTTCAGTTGGAAAAGTTATTCTTCACTTCCCCTTCTTCAGAACTCGTGATCAAGTTTGTGCTGCATTGCCAGAAGTGACTGCATCCCAACAGAGGGTGAATCCAGGGCTTTGGAGCTGTGCTCCAGCTCCAGGCAAAAACCTGCAGCTCCACTGCTCCGGAGTTGCTCTGCGCTCCAGCTCCGGACTCTGCTCCAAAGCCCTGGTAAATACAGCTCATAAAGCACGTTCTGACCCTTGGGTGAAAGTCACCATAGAAGCTCAAACTGTTTATAATTATTTGTATTATTTATGAATAATAATAATAGATGGAGGGTATTTTATGAGTTCTGCTAACACCCAAAAATAAAATTCCCTTTTATTTTTGCGTTCAGAGTAATTTGTTACCAAAATACATCAAAACTGATCGTATTTTAAAAGTGGATATGGCTCAGCAATTTAAATAGCTCATTCACAATATATCGCGAAATAGTCCCAAAACACCATCTCTGTGCCCTGCTTCCAGCCTGCTCAGCTAATTTACCAATTCATAAGTTAGAATAGGTTTTGCAAACTGTACCACGGGGAACCAGCCTTACTGGTAGCCTGGGCACATGTAGGGCCTGAATTTGAGCGGTGCTAAGTACCCCTGGCTCCCACTGATGGCAGTCCCAAAGAATTAGTATGCTGTATAAATCAGTGGCCTGTATAAAAGGAAGCTGAAAGTTTCATAGCACTTAAGGTAGATTTGTTCATAAAAGATCAGATCCAACTTCCACTGAAGTCAATAGGAGTTGGAGTGGGCCCTTTATTTTGCAAATCTATTCTCAGTCTAATGGAACTTTGGGCTTTGATTTCCACAGGCCACTAACTTTTCTGTTGGGATACAGCTCAGCTGTCCTCAATCCAACTCTTGAATAAAAGTGATTGATTTGGCTGTGAGCACTTCATCTGATTTTGTATGGAGTCATAGGATTTGCCATATCAATTCTGACCTGGTAGTTCATCCAGTCTGATATCAAGTCCCTAGCCATAGCTAAAGGAGGCAGGGTGGTCCTGTGGGCAGGGCACCGAACTGGGAATCAGGAGACCAGGGTTCTCCTGACATGCTGTGTGAACTTGGGCAAGTAGCTGAGATCCTTCAGCTCTTCTGAAAATCAAGCCCTCCCCAGGCCTGAACTTCCTAATCTATAAAATGGGGATTATAACGCTCACCCACCTTTTGTATGTGCTTTGAGCTCTGTGGATCAAAATTCTAAGTATTACTATTATTTATTTGTAATGTCCACTGCTGCTGAAGAAGGTAGAGAACTTCCATAATGCACCAAGCAATTGTACAGAGAAGGAAAGAGTTCCTTCCTGCAGCTGTCCAAATTACACTCTACAGCATGAGATTTGAGTGCTTTCATCTTTATCTGAGGGCTTGTCTACAATGGAAATATAAACCACTGTTGACAAGGGGTGTCAGCAGTGGGGGCACTGAACTGAGACTCAGCATGTTTTAGCTGAAATCAAGCTTAAAACTCAGGGGTATGTTTATATCCAAGAAAAAATGGTTTTCATTTGTTTTTGTTTTTTTTTAATCATGAAAAAGTTTCCGTTAAGCTTGGGTTTTGTAAAATCTTGCCTTTGAAAAAACTAAATGTTGTGTGTAAATGTACCTGACACAATCCCCCATTAGAAAACATATCAGATATTATAGGCCTGCTATAGCACCCTTTCAGAGAAATGGAGTCATCTAATAGGTTTTTCCATTTCCAATTACTATAATCCATTCAAAATCCTCCACTTAATTTCTAGTATGGAGAACTTCTTATGCTTGCCTCTGGAACTGGCATAGCACCAATGCTCCCCATTCTCCAGTACATAACAGAAAATGAAGATGATGAAACCTTTATAACCCTGGTTGGTTGCTTCCAGACTTTTGAAAATATTTACTTGAAACCTCTTCTCCAAGATCAGTCTCGATACTGGAACGTCAGAACATGTTACGTCCTTAGCCAGGTAACATTCTGATATAGATACACTCATCCCTGGGCTCTCTGTGGTGAACAACTCTCTGCCTTCTCTGCTTTTGCCTCAGTGTTATTTAAGTTGATTGCTTACCAGTGACCAACGGCATGTGTTGATCCAGTAGCATCTGTCTGAGAACATGTTCTTAAATCCTGTTCATACTAACTAGCAGACTTTCAACTGTATCACTCACTAGTTGAACTGTCTTGACAGAGGTTCTGTTAGGAAAGTCCCATTGAACTGTGTCCGCCATGGAATATTTCCCCCCCTCCAAATTGATCATTGCTGCATATGAAAAGTTGTATTTATAAAACTCTCAGCTCTCTGTGAAACTCACAATAAACAAACTGCACCCAAAGGGTTTTCCTTTTTCAGCACCCATGCATTGATTTGTTAGCTGCTTTCATTCGCTGCTCACGTTGATTAGCTAGTTTCAATCATCACAAATGTTCACTGCCAGCTTGGTGTCTCACCTTGCAGCATGTATCCACCCAGCTTCTCATCAACTTATCTCACACTGGAGTCCTCTGATGAAGCCAATGTCGTGTCTATGTGTAAAAATGTTGGGGCCACATACTTAAAGTTGCTAACTATACCGAATTCATGGACACGGGCCTACCTCTGAAGTAGCCTTCATTTTCAGGGATGTTGCTCGTTTAGTCTCAAATTTACGTATGTTCCACACAAATCTGGTGTTCCCTCACTTTTATTGTTGAAAATTATTTACATCAGAAATAAAGATTCATTGCACTCAGATTATAGAAAGTTGTTTATGCTAACAGTATGAATCACACAGCATTTTACGTTTCCTGCATGAATCATTTTTTGCGTCCCTCATTTGGCCAGTATGGGCAATGGGGAATAGAACTCGTGATCTTCTGCTCCTAAAAACCCTTTTGCCATCAAAGAATAAGATGGTCACAAACATTGAGGAGGTCTTGAAATTTCATCCTGTACAGGGCAGTGGTGCCTGTTTGACACTAATCAGTACATGGCAGTCCATACGTTTTTTTCTCTTATCTTGTCTCATTGTGATTTCCTCTCATAAGAGGTTTGTTTTAATCTTACACCAAGTTGTACAGCTTCCTTTTTATAATTCTATCTGTCTACTTATCAATCAGTTTTATACTGCTGCCCATCATGGTAGTATGTGAGCACCTTCCACATAAAATCACTAACAGTGGCAAAGGCCCTAGTGGACTTCATGGAATGTCTGGCATTTCTCCCTTTTTAGGGTCAAAACTCTGCTTGGGGTAGGGTTTTATTTTTGCAGAGGGGTGTTATTAGGGGGTTGGGAATAGAGGGAGGTCTTCATATTGTGAGTGTCACTTCTGATGGGAAGGCTGTCTCAAAGAGGAATGTTTTGCAACATTTCCTAAAAATGGTCAGATTCTGGATTTGCCCAATCTCCTCTGAAAGATTGTTCCACAGCCAGATCCCCTTGACAGAGAATGCTTTGTTCCCAGCTCACACCTGATTCATCCTGGGCTTTGTGATTTTCATTGTCCCGGAAAAGCACAGCTGTCGCAGTGGTTCATTTACATCAATTATTGACCTGGAAGAAACCACCTAGATGGATTCCTGAAGGGTAAACTTTCAGATGAAACTCTGTCAAGGGAGGTCAGATGTTTGGTCTAAGCATTAACTCTTCAAAGTGTTAATCATCCTTTTTTTCTAAAATAACTTGATACAGTGTAAACTTTTTGCCTTTCCAGGAATCTTCCCTGGAAAAACTTCCTTGGAGCTATCAAGAAAACACACACACTGGCCATATAACTGAGAACTTGATTAAGAAAATGATAAATTCCTGTAGAAGAAAGCCATTTGTGCTGATTTGTGGCTCGGTAGCATTTAATGAAGATATGACTAGATGTCTGAAAGCCATAGGACTCAAAGAGGATTCCTATTTTGTATTTTAGCAGTGTGTTCCAGACCGGCTTCCTCTGAAAAGAAATGCAGACCAAGCATGCACCTGTTTGCTGTTTCCTATGCAAACATCAATTTGAACTTGTCCTTTGACCTGTTTGGGTTTCTCGTGCATATATTTTCATATGCTTTTGTATAAAATATTGTATACAGTGTCTTTAAGATAATTCTTAATATATTATTTTAAAAATCCCTATAGGCTAGCTGACAATAACGTGGCACAGCTAGGAAAGAGGAGAATGAAGGTGGAAGCAGTAACTCAGAATTTCATGAAAGAGACATTTAGCATTACTTTTATCTCATTTTTTTGTGTCATCACTTTCATTTTGTAATTAAAAAGGAGAAGGTAAGTAACTGCTCTGATCTGTGCATCGTTGTCACGGTACTAACACCCTGAAAGCCATTTGGGTCTACCATGTCACTGCACTATTGGGAACTCTTAATCCAGAGGTTATTGCCATAAGGGATTTTAAATGTATGTCTACACTGCACAAAAGACCAGGCTTTGACGCAGGTTTGAACCTGAGCCCTGTAGACGTGCCCTTCATTGCTCGTGGCACAAATTCATGAGAGACCACTCTTTCAATCACCAGTGCCCTTTTATTTCCTTGTATTTTCCCACCACCACGTATATACAGCTTTATACAGTTTGCTGTCAGGCAGGTAACCCCTTGGGGAACAGCTTGCTTTTACAGCTAGCTGGGAGCAACAGGTCCCCACTTTCCTGTTCCTCCCCTTCTACTTCCTTCCTGCTAGCTTTATAGGCCTTCCCCCATCAAGCGCACAGGTGTCTCTCCTTTAGGGCTTTAATCAGCCACAGCCTGTCAGCTCCAATCTCTTCCCCTTACTGGGAGCTGAGCTAGCAGGCTCTGAGCTAACAGGGGCTGAGTCAGTGCCTTTTGTCCAGCACCCTATTACAAGCCCCCATTCCAAATCAGTCTGATTTAAGTCAGCAAGCACTCAGGACGCAGGTCCTAGGGCCCTAATAGGGCAGTGGGTCAGAGCCCAACTCCTGCTGTGACTCCAGTCCAAGCCCTCTCCTTTTGCAGCGTGAACACAGGTCAAACCACAGATCCAAGTCAGAAGGTCTCCATAGCGTAATAGCATTGATGCGTTAACACGGCTGTGAGACCTGGATCCAGCACTTGTAAAGCCGGGTTTACATAGCAGTGTGGATGCTCAAACACAGGCTTGGGAACACCGAGTCCATGAGCCCGGGTCCCGCAGACCCGGGTTTACAATGCAGTTAGACATACCCTAATACTTCTGGCCACTGGGCATTTATGAAGCCTTGCCCCATGATGTGTTGATGCACTGGTATGGGTTTGCCCGGTGTACCCCAAAAATGTAAAATCCTTTATCATTTGTGTACAACACTTCACGTGGAGAATAAAAATGTATCCTAAAAATCTATTTGAGAAAGTGTGTGCATGATGTTCTAGCTGTTGTTAAACCTCAGTTTCTTAGGGATGATGGTTATTTGCTTTACCTGCTCCCAAGCATTTTATAGTCTCTATTGTTTATGAAACTGAAGCTATTTTCAAGTTAGAAAAGCTGTTTCATGGTGACTGCCTGACTTTTCCATAGGCAGAGGGCTGCCAGAACTGACTTTCTGAACTTCCCAGGAACACTGCCTCATATCTGGAATAATGTTTGGATTTTCCACGGGGCTGTTCTGCTCTAGCATTGTGGGGGGAGGAAGGGGCAGTGCATAGAGGCCTGCAGGGCTGCACCTTACTAGCTGTTCCAGAGTACAAACAGGGCCGGCTCCAGCTTTTTGCCACCCCAAGCAGCGAAGAAAAAAAAAAAAAAGAAAAAGCCGCGATCGGCGGCACTTCGGCAGCAGCTCTACCGCGCCGCTTCATTCTTCGGCGGCAATTCGGCAGCCGGTCCTTCCCTCCAAGAGGGACCGGGGGACCCGCCGCCGAAGACCCGGATGTGCCGCCCCTTTCCATTGGCTGCCCCGAGCACCTGCTTCCTGTGCTGGTGCCTGGAGCCGGCCCTGGTTACAAAGCCTCAAAGCAGCTATGTTACCCCAGAGGAGATGAAGGAATGAAGAAAACACAATCTATTCAATAAAATTCCTCACTACCACCCCTCCCCCTAAAAGAGATACAAAATAAAGTAGAAAACAACAAAAGCCCCAATTCAAGCAAGGTACTTAAACACTTGCTGACCATTAAGTAAACAAAATCAATGGGATTATTCACATGCTGAAAGTTAGGCACAGGCTTAAGCGCCTTGCTGAATCAAGGGCAGGAGAGAGTGGAGCTGCTGAATTTGTTCTGCCAGAGGCAGAACATCTGGCAGGTGCAGGCTAGGAGTTGTCCCTGGGATTCTTTAGCAACAAGTCCAAACTGCCTGTGAGTTCCATGCAGACCCAGGCTCAGCCAGATGTAACAGACTGGAGGAGATGGTTGATCTCAGAAATAAAAGTATTGGGTATCATAATTTCCATTTTAAAACATTATTAATGGAAAACAATAGTTGTTAGTAAAAGTACATCCAGTGATAGAATGATACGTACTTCGCTTTGTAAAGCACTTTGAGACAGACCGGTGAAAAGCACTATGTAAGAGCCAGGTATTGTTACGGATATGACAAGGCATCTTGCGCACATAAGTGTATACGTGATGTACGGTGCACATAGTCTCTCTCCACATCTTTAAATTCATCTGTTAATTAGCATTTTTATTCTGTTTTAGAGTTTCTGCATACTGTGTATGCTGTAGCTATGGCACAGTTCCAAGTTTGTCATCAAACACCCGTGTCTCAGCGTCTCGCTTTACTTGTAGCTAGTAACATACCTAAGCTCTTCCTATGCGAAGGAGATGTATTTGGATTGTTACTCGAAATAAACAGCATGTACCAAAACAACACAAAAAAGTGTCTCATTCACGTACTGGGAGGATGTGAAGTTATCTGAATGAGGGTCCCACAGACACTGGCTAGTCACCACTATATCCACAGTCTCATCTTTGCTTTTGTTTCCAATGGTGACGTTGACAACTAACTTATACCGAGGAGGAGTGACTTGCTTGACCAAGTGTTTTATTTCTTCACTTAAAGCAATAGTGAGGCTGGCACATTTTGCAGGCTCATAAGTAACGTTGGCGAGTTTGGTTGGTAAATATTCCCTTAGCAGCTCTTCTGCTCTGCCACAAGAGAATTTCTCTTTCGGTATTGCAGACGAGACTGGAATCTGTAACAAAGACCCAACTTTATAATATAATTTAATTAATTTATTTGTATTACAGTCATGTCCAGCGCCCTTAGGATTGGGGCCCCATTGTTTTAGACCCTGTACAAACACACACACACACACGTGTGTGTGTGTGTGTGTGTGTGTTACAATTGAACCACAATAAATTCTGTTCCAACAATATGAATCTCTACATTTTCAAAGAGCTACCTGGGGTTTAACCAGTCAACTTCCAGTCAAGTCAATAAGAGTTGACTCCAATTACTGGGAGTCTCGAATTAACCCACACAAGCACATTAACGGAACTGGGTCAGTGTGCTGGCTCACAATACAGTCATCCCCACAACACAAAATGTGGTTCTGGTTCCCCAGCATAGGTAAATGCTAAGATATATCCAGGACTTTTGCCCAATTCGGACACATGGTTAAAATCTGGTTAGGTCTGCACTGGAATATCAAACCATGTTTTAACCATATTGGGTGCAGCCACTATACTATTATGGTAGATGGGGAAGTTCTGTGAACCTATCCGCTCTAGTAGGACTTCTACCCAATGCTGACTGCCCAAGTCCTGTCCCAACATATGTTGGGTCTCATAAAGCCTGAGATGGATTCTTCAGTCACTGGCTGTACTTTGGCCCTGGCTAGGAACACAGGGGAAGGCATCATATCTCAGACCATTATGAGCCAAATTTTCGAAGACTTGTTCACACGCATTAAGCTTTGAAAATCTAGAGGTTTTGCTAAACACCCGTGGGTATGTCTACACTGCAGCTGGGAGCATGCTTCCCTACTTGGGGAGGCTAGGCAGATGCTCTGCTCAAGCTAGCATGCAAAAAATAGCCGTGTAGCCATGGGTAGCCCAGGGGGAGACTTGGGCTAGCCACCTGAGGACAAATCCACCCGGAATCCCGGCTGTGCACTCAGACAGTTAGCCTGAGCCACTGCCTGTGGTACCCCCAACTACGCTGTTACGTTTAGTACGCAAGCTTGAGCAAATCGCGTCCGTGTCCGAGCAGAGACGCATGCTCCCAGCTGCAGTATCGATGTACCCAGTGCAGCTCTTTGAAAATGCAGGGGTATAACTTCAAGCTGGCAAAGAATGGGAGAGTTAAAACTGGAACTGTACTTTACATTCCACCCCAATATGCCTAGATATTTCAGCACATATGGAACACGATGGGGCACAACCCTGCCCAGCTGGTCTGGCCCTTCTGCTGCTAAGCCTTCTCTCTTTGTTCATGGCTAGAAGGGAGGGGAGTGAGAGACACACAGCCCAGGCTGTGAATATTATTGGGTTGCAATCCTACAAAGGCAGACTGCAGGGAGAGAGGGTGGCAGTTTTGTATGCGGCTCCACCAGCTCAGCCATCTGCATTCCCTGGAGGAGGGAAATTCTTCAGGGGAATTTCCCCTTAGTGTGGGAGGTGGCCCTGGAAATGTGAAGAGCCTTAAACAGCAGCTGTCGGCACAGCAATCTCGAAGGCAGTGGTGCCCAAACTTTTCCTGTCGCACCCTCCCCTTACCAGTCATGGAGTCTGTCCACGCCCCCCCATACACACACACACACACTACTGCACAGTTGGCTCAGCAGAGGAGCTTGGACGGAGCTGGGGGCAGAATTGGGGATGTGGGGGGAGCTGGGGCTAGAGGTGGAGCTGGCCTAGGGGGCAGAGGGAATGAGGGCAGAGCTGCGGATGGGGGCGGGGCAGCGGGGCGCTCCCTCCCTGCCCCCCCCCGTGGGGGCTTGCCCCTCTAAACGTTCCTCTGTGCCCTCTTGGGAGTGAGAGGAAGTATGTCCCACAGTTTGGGGACCACTGCTCTAAACAGACCCCACCTCTGGCCAGGCCCTAATGATCTTTATTCTCCAGTTTCCACAGACGCTCTCCCCCACTCCACAGACTCCCTCTGCCCAAGCTTGGATTTACACCTTCGCTTGCTCAGGCAGCCCCGTTTGGAGGAGGTAGGGGCCCTTGCTCAGTGTGCTGAGCGTGAAAGCCATGCTGCAAAGACAGGCTGTTCTTGTACTCCAGCCCCAGCCTGTGTGTGACACTAATGCTCAGTTGGCAGGATGGTGCCTGGGCTCTTTACTTACTAAAGGAAGATGGGTTTCCCCACTTTTCAACAGACTCTAGGAGCAGAACAGAGAAGTATCCCATAGGAAGAGTTTCATTGAAAAAATGCTTAGATATTGATTGTTGCATCAATTATGAAATGGATTCTTAGTGCTGTGTGTGTGTAGAGTC